AACAGTGGAAGTTAAAGCAAGATCTGGAAGACCAAGAAAAATATCAGACAGAACATGTCAGGGATCTCCGCGATCCCTGCCACGATGGTCCTGGCGCAGGCGCAACTGCGCCACCCCCAGTGCACCGGGGCACTAGGTCCGGAGCCTGGCCGCGGCGTTCGAGTTTTCGCTATATGCCAGTAGAAGCCGCGGTACGCCCGCTGGGCACCAATGGCAGGCGCAGGGCGGGATATTTTAAGATTTCCGCTGAGCATTGTCAAGATCGTTGCCTTATGGTCATACCTGCTTCCTGTGATCCTGTACCTGTGCCTAGAAATTTATTGACCTCGGATTGCCTTTGACCTTGGCTGATTTCTCCTCCCCAGACCCCTGCTTTTGCCTTACCTCTCTCCCTGGATGCACCTTAATAGATCTGACCTCCTTTTGCTGGATCCTGCGCGTGTGACCCCACGATTTCTCTGCCTTCTCCCCTTGTACCATACCGTCCTCTAACTTACTGACTCGGCGGGCCAGTCTGTACTTACGCCACCTGCTCAGCCATCATCCTATCCATCCAATCCATCCATCGGCGCTCACCTGACCCTCCTCACATCTGGCTTCTCCCTGGTTTGGAAACCCCTGGCGGAAACACCCCCTTAACGCTGACAGGATTGTGCTCCTGTAGAGGCGACCTGGTCTGCGGGGTACTACCAAGTTCATCCCACTTCAGGGGCCTGGTGAACAAGTACCCCGGGGGCTGGCTTAGACTCCGCGCTATCTGGGCACGCCTGACCAGTGGGAAGTGCTAGTGGTGACGCTCGGCGTCCTCACAGACAGCTCGCTAGGGATTGTGAGAAAAACATTCAAAAACCCACGTTTGGGACTGCTCAATCCTCAGTAAGATCTGGCAGACATGGAGTTTTGGTACACTATTCCACTTATAAAGAGATACTTGTACAAATATGGTCTTCATGGAAGACTTCATCAGAAGAAAACTTCTTCTACGTCTCACACAAAAAAATCATCGTTTGAACTTTTTGCAATTGAACTTATAGACAAATCTGTGCCATTTTGGAAACAAGTTCTGTGGACCGATTGCCGATGAGGTTAAATTGAATCTTTTTGGCCTGGACTATGGAGCAAAGGTACGTTTGGAGAAGACGGGGCAGCAGTATTTAATGAAAGTGAACCTCTGTCCAACTGGTAAGCATCGGGTTGGATCAATCATTGCTTTGAGGGTTTGTTGTGTGCAGCCAGAGGCACAGGGAACATTCTCACGATTAGAAGGAAAAATGGATTCAATAACATTTCACAGCAAATGTGGCTGGATGGTAACTTGATGACCAGTCTGTGAAAAAAACGATGAAGTTAACAGAGAGGATGGCTTCTACAAATGGATAATGATCCATAAAACACACCACCATCGCAATCCACTGGGGGACAACCATCAATAAGTTGTTAAACTGAAGGTTGTTGAGCCATGGCCTTCACAATCTTTCACCCTGGCCCATCACATAATTGAAAATCTTTGGGATAGACCTTAAAAGAGCAGTGCCGTGACAGACAGCCCAGAAATCTCAAGAGAACTGGAAGACACTTTGTAAGGAAGAATGGGCAACAAGATACCTCAAACAAGAATTGATAAGACTCTTGGCTTGTGCTTACAAAAAGCATTTCACCAGCTGATTATACTTGCCAAAGGGTGGAAGTACAAGAATGATTAACATCTGGCCAAGGGTGCCAAACTTTTAGCAGACGCCCTTTTTTTTTATGTTTTCCGTTATTTTGCATAGATTTTGTCAAATGATGGAAATAAAATCCTAACTTTTTGTTGACCTATTATAAGAAAGTCTAATCTGTTAATTTGAGCCTTTTGGGAGATTTTTCCTTCTTTCCTTGGCTCTTAGGCACATTACTACAAATTTTTAGCTGGGGGGACCCAAATTCGATCCCCACTGGTAGAGTGCCATACTACTAGGGAGCTCCATGGCAAAGGATTCCAATCGTCAAAAACAGTTTTGGCTTGAAGAGAGGCTAAGAATCGCATACGCCTTTTGGTGTCCAGGAATTCTCATCATAAGGACAGATTCGCAAGCGAATTGTGACAGAGCTGTTTCCTTCATAGATGTGCCCTTTTATTTATTGACTATTGTGAGTAGAATACTTATTTTTTAACATTCAATAAACATAATTTTAAGGTAAATGCACTATGCCCGTTGGTGCGCCCTCTTTTGTTTTTCTACTGTTCAGTATATTGGACTCCTTCGGTCCTTTGAGGGCACAGAGCGTTGTGTTTGTTGCATATCCCAAGAATTTCGTTATGTGGTCCCAATGACATTGAGTCCTTCCCAAGCGACCAGGAGTATCTGGGTTTTCCACTTCTACAGTAAAACAACACCAACTGTACGAGCCTCTTTTTTAAAAGATTTATAAAATATATATATATGCACCCTCACAAGGGAAACAATAAAAAAAAGCCTTTGATACAATTTGCTTTGTTTAGTAAGTTTTTCTCACTCCCATCCTACTTGCTTGTGTGTTATGCCTTTAAGCGACGTGACGTCAGAGCCCCTCCCCTACACGTTATGCCACAGGTCACATGGCTTTCAGGGAAAATGCTTTAAGGCATAACACACAGCAAGTAGATGGGAGTGAGAAAAACTTACTAAACAAAGCAAAATTGTATCAAAGGCGTTTTTTTTATTGTTTCACCATGTGAGTGCATTATATATATATTAAATAAATCTTTTTAAAAAAGAGGATAAGGCACTATATATTTTCTTCCAATTACATGGAATACACACATATGGAGGAAAAAGTTTGAAAGGAGCCAAGAGACACCCTAGTGGGAAGAGGGATAACTCCATCCATCCATCCATCCATACTGAGGAAAAGGATCTCTTGATAATGGCGAGAGCCCCCCTGCTGGAAAAAAAGGAAAAAAAACTCCATTTATCCATCCATCCATCTGGGATCTGGACTTATTGCACAGGTGGTTATTTTTTATTTTTTTTGTTTAGATGTATCTTTTTGTTTGCTAGTGTTATTGTAAGGGTTTTTTGTGGTGTGTTGATTAGATTTTTTATTTGTTTTGTATTGTGTTTAAAACCTATCACAGGACCAACACTTCATTTCACTGAGCTCCTGAGAGTGACTCATTGTTTCACAAATGTTTGTAGAAGCAGTCTGCATGCCTAGGGGGCTTGATTGTATACACCTGTGGCCATGGAGGGGATTGGAATATCTGAATCCAATGATTTGGAGGGCTGGCCCAATACTTGGCAATATAGTGTATACCACCCCGGTCTGCTGGATGGCTGGCTTGGCTCCTCCCACCTATATGTGTTACACCTTGTGATTGGGCTTCCTCAATAGGCCTATTATTATTATTATTATTATTATATGTTTATAATCTGAGCAGTTTTACAATAAAGTAAATTTTAATAATAATAACAACAACATTGATGAGGTGCCCTCTGCCAGTAATATTAATATGGCCTGATTGTACAGTACGGTATGAAAAAAAAGGGGAAGGAGACACGTATAACCCAGTGTCTACCTTGTCAATAGGTTTTACTGGTACCACATCCTTTATTATAGAGACACTAAAAGAAGACAAAACTCAAACTAAGAAAACTAATGGGGACTTTTAAGGTACCATACCGGGCAGCACAGTGGCTAAATGGTTAGCACTTCCGCCTGGCAGTACTAGGGGTCTTCAATTCAAATCCCAACCACGGCACCGCCTGCCTGGAGTTTGCATGTTCTGCGTGAGTTTCCTTTGGGTACTCTAGTTTCCTCCCACACTCCAAAGACATGCTGGTAAGTTAATTGGCTCCTGGTTTAAATTGGCCCTACTATGTGTATGTATGAATGTGAGTTTAGGGACCTTAGATTGTACGCCCCTTGAGGGTTAGGGACTGATGTGAATGTACAATATATATGTAAAGCGCTGCGTAAATATGACGCTATATAAGTACCTGTAATAATAATAACAATCATAAATATTATGTAAAAGATTATCTTTATTATACAATATTAAAAATGCATAATTGTAGTACAAAACCTAAGTATAAACATGCTCTCTATAACATATACCACTACATATTGTAATAATAGAGACATTCAGCTTGATGTAAATAAATCCATGGTTACATATTACACCAATGAAGAGATTACATACAATTCTGAGTTGTATAGCCAGCTTCCTCAGGGAGGTCTGGTATATATCGCTAGGACCATAAGCAGAACCATGATAAATAAACAGAAAAAACAAAACAGGATACATTCTACATTGTATGATGATATATCTATATGGCAAAAGAAATAGTACCTGTTTGTTCAAAGAATACAATTCAAAGTAACTCACAGCGATGGAAAAATGCAATCAACCATTTTGAAGGAGAACCAATTCATTAAATATATGTAAATATATAGCATATAGAGGAAGCAAATATAGGTTCTATAGAAAACATAAATTAACCTCTTGCCGACCGCGCATAGCCGAATGACGGCTTCAACCGCGACTGTCCGGCCAGTTCTGAGTGGACGTCATATGACGTCCTCCCAGAAACGCGCTCTCCCTGTGCGCGCCCCAGGGGGCGCGCACCTCAGGGCTACGCTACCGGCGATCTCCGTGATCACTGTGTCCTACGGACACAGCTGATCACGTGATGTGGTGAAAGGCCGATCCCACCGGCCTTTTACCACGTGATCAGCGGTGTCCAATGACACGCTGATCACAGGGAAATGCAAGTGCCGGTTCTCAGCTGCACTTTCCTCACGCTGTCAGATCGTGAGGAAAGTACTGCCGAGAAACCGGCAGTTTGTCAGAGCGGGGATCGGCACCGATCATCAGGGCACTGATGATCAGTGCCCTGATGATCGGTGCCCAGCAGTGACACACCCGCAAGTTCCGCCCCAGCAGTGCGCCCACTAGCTCAGCCCCCGCCCACGGACCGTTGCCCAGCAGTGCCCCCACCTGTGCCCAGCAGTGCCCCCACCTGTGCCCAGCAGTGCACCCACCTGTGCCACTCTGCAGTGCCACCTACCTGTGCCCAGAAGTGCCACCTACATGTGCCCAGCAGTGCCACCCACCTGTGCCCACCCAACTGTGCCCACCAGTGCCACCCACCTGTGCCCACCCACCAGTGCTGCCCACCAGTGCCGCCCACCAGTGCAGCCCAGCAGTGCTGCCAGTCAGTGCCACCAGTCAGTGCCCAGGGGTTGTGCCAGTCAGTGCCGTGCCGCCAGTCAGTGCCCAGAAGTGATGCCAGTCAGTGCCGTCTAAAAGTACCCATCATCAGTGTCACCTATCAGTGCCGCCTATCAGTGCTGCATATCAGTGCCGCCTATCCGTGACCCCTAATTAGTGCTGTCTATCAGTGCCGCCTATCCGTGCCACCGTCATTAGTACTGCCTATCAGTGCCCTTTAGTGCTGCCTATCAGTGCCCATCAGTGCCGCCTCATCAACGCAAATCAGTGAAGGAGAAAAAATACCTGTTTGAAAAATTTTATAAAAGAAACAAACTTTTTTTTTTTTTCAAATTTTTTGCACATTTTTAATTTATAGCGCAAAAAGTAAAGCGCCCAGTGGCGATTAAATACCACCAAAAGAAAGCTCTATTTGTGAGAAAAAAATGATCAAAATTTCATCTGGGTACAATGTTGCATGACCGTAGCAATTGTCAATCAAAGTGCGGCAGCGCTGAAAGCTGAAAATTGGCCTGGTAAGGAAGGGGGTATAAGTGCCCGGTAGGCAAGTGGTTAAAAAGATCAAAATAAGCAAAGAAAAAAAAAGTACTTAAGATAGAAGTGACTTGTGGGTCCTCATGTGAATTGTTTGATATCAGTGTTTGGAGTAGGGTGTAGTTTGGAACTTTTTGGGCCTTTAAGACTCTATTGATGGAGTATTTATTACATTTATATAAGTAGCTCAGTTTATAAAGTTACTTCCTTTGTTCTTTGCTTATTTTGACCATTTCAATGTATTTTTCTATAGGACCTATTGTGTATTTGCTTCATCTCTATGCTATATATGTTTACATTTATTTAATGAATTGGTCCTTCTTTAAAATGGTTGATTGCGGTTCTCGATTGCTGTGAGTTTCTTTGCATTGTGAACTTTGAACAAATAGGTACTATGTCTTTGAATATATAGATATACTTTAGTAAAATGTACAATGTATCCTGTTTTATATATTTTCTGTTTTTTTTTTTTTTTCTTTTTGTTTACTATGGTTCTGCTTATGATCCTAGAGATTAATACTAGACCTCCCTGAGGAAGCTGGCTTTGCCCAGCGAAACGTGTCAGTGTTCTATACATCAAAATGTAATCTCTTCACTGGCTTAATATACAACCGTGGAGTTATTTACATCCAGCTTAATGTCTCTATTGTTACAAGACGTAGTTTTGTATATGTTTTCAGAGAGTATGGTTAATGCTTAGCTTTTGTACTACAATAGTTTTTTAATTTTGTATAATAA